AACGTCGGGCGAATAAAGTTCCTGTTCCAACAATCGCATCTACTTCTCCACGGAGAAAGCCGTTGAAAAAAATGATGAAGAATAGTTTTCTTGGCTTTTCCGTCTTAGTTATCAGGCTAAGGCAGCAGTTTTGACTGCTTCATTAAAATAACTGCCATAGTGCTTGATGCATGAGGAGTACAGCAGATTTTATACATATATTGTGCAATATTCCCGTAGACTCCCTCCACATTCAGCGCATAAGCTAATGCGCATTTCGCGACAAACATCGAAAACAGTTGAAGACAGTTTGAGGCCCGTTTTGACTCTCAGGCACAATGATCTTCCTAACTCAGTGTCACATTTCAAGTTTGCCACTTATCTCATCACAAATGATTTTTTCAACCGTTACGAACGTCCTTTTTTAAGCATAGAACGATCCCTTGAGACTGTTCACAGGCTCCGTTAATTAAAACAGAGATATTAGGCAGGTCTGTGTCAAAACAGAAAGTTGCGAGGTATTTCTACCCAGGAACAACGAGACTTCAAATAGGGCTCCGAGGCACGATTATTCATTTAACCTAATTGTGAAAAATTCGCAGCCCCGGTGGGAGTCGAACCCGCATGGCAGGGAAGGCTTCTGCGCAACCAAAGCCCTACCATTGAGCTACCTGGCTCCCACTGAGACCGCGAATTGTGAGCCTCGTAGCTCAATGGTAGAACGTTGGATGAGCAAAAGTCTTCTCTGCTGTGTGGGTTCGACTCCCACCGAAGCGGCCAATTTTTCACAACTGGGTCAAAACTGAATTATTCAAATCTGCCAAACTCTCCCACATATGCACGATTACGTACCTTTCAATATGACTGATTGCACTCCTTTCCGAACAGGTTCAACGACGGTGCCTAAAACGCGAAGCTGTGGTAACACCCCATCTAATGCATTCACCGCGCCCCTCATAAACCGGTAAGTTGAGGAAGGTATTTTCAATTTTTTCAATCCATCGCGCATGTGCTCGAATGACAACTGCGTTCGGTAACTACATCACCCCTTATGCCCTATCCTTGTCTGTGACTAGCACTGATGATGGGTTCACGTGAGAAACCAAAACGTCAGGCCAGTGCATCTTTAGTTTCAGTTACCGCGTCTTTTCTTTCTTCTTAAGTACATCCTTGACATCGTCTCCCGCTTCTGTCGGTAAGCTGTTTCGAGAGCTGGAAGTAATGCAATTCGCAGCCGGGACAAGGCTGTATCGTTTGAGACCACACAAATTACAGGCTGCTGCAAAATGGGCGGACAAACTAAAGATGCTGACAACGAATATGCTTCAGTCATTTGAGTTTGACTGTTGGATAAAGATTACAAAGACCTTTTCCTCAAAGCACGCATTTATTTATTTCGTATAAACTGGAAGGCAAACATCCCAAGAAAGGAAAGGCGTTCTTCTGAAGAAGGAGGAAACTTTATTCAGTAAATGTATAACACTGGATCCCCAGGTTGTCGTCAACTTGAGAAGCTGTGCAACGAACAATTAACATTTCAAAAGTGCTGGTACAGTTATATGCTCGTCTGGTGTGGGCGCTAATTTGCAGCTGCAATTTGCGTCACTCTGTGGTGGACAAAACTGGTAGTCGCAATAGCGTACTGGCTAATTGGCAACTGTAAGTTGCATCGGTCCGGGGTCAGTCCGAGTCATCCGGTGTGGGCGCTAATTTTGGTTCATGTTGGTCCGTATTGGTCGGCTGTAGTCTCTTCCATTTTCCTTTGAGATGTTTTTACAATCCATCCAACTCGATACGTCGGTTGATGCATGAATCATCGGAGTGCATGGCCTCAATAAATTCGAAGCCTTTTTTGGAGGGAAAAACTCTGATGATGCATGTTGCACAGCTTCTCAAGTCTGATGATGACCTCGGGATCCAGTGTCAAAAATGTACTCAATAAAGTTTTCTCATTTTCCCAAAGAACGCCTTTCTTTGAAACTTTTATTTATGCCTTATTCTTTTACTTTAGGGAGGACAGCACGAGGCCTTCCTCCATCGGTCTGAACTCTCCCATAACTGCACATCCCTCAATCCATTGTCTGTCTGAAGATATTGAAGCTGAAATCATGAACAAGAGTCAGACTGACAGTGGCACAAACAGTGATGCAGAAAAGGAGAAGGAGGTACTGGAGCCACATGCGGTGGAAATTGAGTACTGGCGTCATCCGGAGGACTGTTGTGCTGCGTTTATCTGGAAGCGATGCGCACCCCTCTGTCGTCCGTGTCTGCCAAGTCGGATGGGTCGAGCCTGGGGAAGGCTGCGTCAGGGCTGCTATTATATTGTTGAGAATCGCTTCTTTGAGGGGTTTATATTTGTCATGATCATCGTCAGCAGTGGCACCCTTGTGAGTTTTTACTGCCTTGACCCAAAATACTCATTCCCCCATTTTAATTGTGAGAATCGAAGCTGAAATTCAGGGGTAGTTGGCAAAATCATGGTCAAAATTAGGCAAAATTCACTGTAAGGGTCGACTCTTCGGTCCCAATTAGGTGGACAAAGTGCGTCGCACGCGACTTTAAGTCATGAGAATAAAAAGTGTAAAAAGTTACGTACTATCATCCCTCTTCTCCATATCTCACCTTCCACAAGTTAGGGAGACTGGATTCTACATTCTGGATTTGTATAGCTCACGGACCTAACTTCAATGGGACAGCGTTTCCCTCACTGATAGCGGATCTCGTTGGTAATTCTAGATCCTGAAAAGGAACAGCTATATAAATCTGAGAATAACAACTGACACAGATAAGAGAGGTTAATAGTATTGTCGGAAAAGGCAAGGGAAACTGAAATGGCCATTTCTGGCTTATAAACCGTCGTCAGCCAGTCATACCCAACTCCTAGTGGTGCGCCACCTGGGGTTGACTGGTTGATGACGGCTAATAAGCCAGAAACGGCCATTCCAGTTTCCCTTGCCTTTGCCGACAATGCTATCTGCCTAAGGCCGCTAAGGCCACTGTCAGGGCCCGAGAATTGAGAGCCAAGGCAGAGCGGAACAAGTGAGTTCCGTTAGCGGTCAGGCGAAAGTTCATCAACTACTGTCAATAAGAGAGGTTGGCATAGCCAATTCTCGTTTATTTAAGTCCTAGGACAACCATGCCTCAACCCCGGGCCAGAGCAACCGAAGAGTTGAATCTGAGTCTGGTGGTCATCGAGTCTACGAGTAAGGATGGGCTGCCATCGGAGATATTACAAGTCACAGAAAGTGGCGCTCACCGACGCATTACTATTGCAGGATGAATTGCGATCAATTCATTCTTGCCATGGAGCTCAAGTCGAGAGCTCCGTCCAACCCATAAATGTTCATTGCAGCATTATCCGTGTCTGCCAGCACCACTTCTCGATTGTTCTTTGTTCACGGTCGCGCGACCGCTTGCGAGGACTCCGCACCGGAGCTCAAAGTTGAAAAGTTATTACATTCTTTTACCGTGACATATCGGCGAATGCTGCCAGCATTTAATAAATCAGTGGTCAAACCATCCGCTGTATCGATAATTCAGCATCATATGAAAGAAAAACGTCTCACAATCATGTCTTTTTCTCTGTCACTTTCATCCCTGATATAAGCTTCCGTCTAGCAAAAATCTACCAGACCTCTGGCGGAATCACGAATTTGAAAATTAAACTTCCACGGCACCTGCACAACAGGAATGTAGGTTGAACAGCTACTATGTACTTATTTGCAAAAATCATTAAATATCCTAGTAGAGAGTTATTCCAAAACGGATGGCGAGGAAAATGTCCATCGGGACCGGTTTAAAGCATAACTCAAATTTATTACCTAAAACTTTTTTAGAAAAAAATTTCTGATTGTCCCACAAATGACGCAGGCCTTAGCTAAAAGTAAGTTTGCCCATGTAACCAAAAACACCTAACATTTTGCTGTTACATATTTCTTATATCAATGGGTGAAGCTGATAACCCTTTGCTAAGTACGTGGCTCGTCACCCAACCCGAAATTCGCTTCTTTTAGGCATTGGAGGACAAACATCTGCCGTCGAGACCTGTATTGAAAATGATCCTCGAGTACATGGATAAAGTGTTCACATTCGTATTTTTATTGGAAATCATTCTCAAGTGGTTTGCATATGGCCTTCGGAAATTCTTCAAGGACGCCTGGTGTTGGCTCGATTTCACCATTGTGGGGGTACGTACAGAGATTTGAGTTACGAGTATGCCCTAAGTTTACGCTTTTTCGACTGTCAGTTGATGAACTTTCTCTTTTTGTGGAGAGAGGGAAATTTCTGAACCCATGTAACTTTACCTAAGCCTTTACTTCTCAAATTTTTAAATACACGGTGTAGTGTGCCTTCAGCACTGCTTAGGTTCCCTCCTATGTGATCGCGTGTAAACACTGAGTTCTTTTTCAGATCGCCATTGTTAGTCTTTGCATGAGCTACTTCAGTTCGGGCAGCAAGTCAAACATGAACTCTTTCAAAGCTATGCGGACCTTGAGAGCTCTTCGGCCCTTACGTGCCCTCTCTCGCTGGGAAGGAATGAAGGTAATAAGACGTTTATGGTGTCGTTGTATGCTTATATGTGATGTCCTCCTATTATGCCAAAACTACCCAGTACTACATTAATTAATGGGACAGTTTTAAGACCAAGTCTCCTCATAATATGTAATGGTCAAGAATAGAAAGCCGGGTCAAAGTTCATTTTACCCTCCTGGAGCACTCCCGACAATATGCTGCTGAGTAGACCATGTTGACGTCTTTTAATCGTACCGTCACTCGCCTTTCAATTATGTCCTTTTATGTAAACGCTTTTCCTATTGGCTCGCGCGCGTCTTTGGCCAAATACTTCATTTTCTCACGAATAATGTCCGCGTGCATTGAAAAATACCAGGACACTCATTCGTACGTCTGGTCGCGTAGAATCAAAGAGGCTGGTAAATGCACGTCATTGCGTACGCATCCAGCTCTCCTTAATGTCTCTAGCTGCAATATCAAGGACTCCATTGCCATCTTGATATTTTGCGACGCAACTCAGAAGAACTAATGAGGACACATCCACAACGACATTGCCTACAATAAAATCACACTATGTGATTAAGAGACTGTCAATTTACTGCTGTTTGTAAACAGTTTACGTGATGTTCATTTTTTATACCGACTATAGAAGGACAAAACTAACTGAATCGTCGTCCTGTGGCGGGCACTGCTACCGACCGACCGACCGAATTCATCCCGACTGCTCCAGCTGTCTGAGCCACTAGGGTCTGTTCGCCGGCTGGCTGGATTATCAATATTCCATTAACTTAGACGCCGAAATTTAGCATATTGTAGTCTACGATAGTTGCAAGACAAACCTCCCAACCAGTATGAGGTACAGTTGTCAGCGGAAGAAACTCGAACAATGAACCTCTCAAGTTCTCGTCAACTGTGCTAACCTACTTAGCCCACCAAGGGGTGCTAGTTAGGTTACTCAACGCAAATTTGAGCGGCAAATTTATCACGTTCGTTCCAGGGCGTAAGTCTACTGCCTCTGTAACTCACACTTCCAAAGTCTGCGTTAAGTTGTAACTACTTCTCATTAAAATAAGCCTTTATAAACAGTTATTTGTTAAAAGATGATTTTAGCCCAGGTTAGCGCATTAGATATATTCGAACCTTCGTTTGACTTTTAAAAAAGTCAAAGAATACGACAGCAGTATCAAGGTAGCAGCAGAGCAACTTGCAAAACTAAAGCTACTTCATTATTAAATGGTGGTTTGAATGTCACTCTGTTGAAAATTCTACGAGCCTGCAGATGACAGGCTGCATCGCCTAGAAGCATAAGACATTTAGGCCATAAAGGTTTCACTATACCTGAAAAGGTATTGATTCAATCCTCCAAAAGGGCCTCGAAGGGAAGGCATTCTTGCATCTGAATTGGGTGTTATTGGGACATTTTCGATAGTCTAGTCGCACACATCTACACGAAAGTGTGCTCGCCGTACATGCAGTTGGCCGCTTACATAAATAAATGCCTTGTTCGCGAATTAGATCATAGTTAAAAGGAGGTGGGCTAAATCAATCTCATTTCATTTTCGAATCCGCCCTCCCTTGTCCAGTGGCAAGAGTTGGACAGGAAGACTTGTGATGAGATAAAGCGTCTGCACTGATCATTGCACGCTTGGTTTACCTTATTGAGTGAGCCAAGCTACAAGGGAATTTTCATTGGGTCTTAGGACACTCCGGCTAACTTTCATTTTGGAGCACGAGCATTGCCAGTGTGTTCAATACCACCTTATGTGGTCACACGTACGAGGGCTGCTTAAAAGATTCGTTCACCGAGGAATGCTTATCTCATACAGTCAGGCTATAGGCAGGACTACCTCAGATGAATTGGGGCAAAAACGTTCGCGTCCCAGGTAGGCGTAGAAGAGAAGAAGATGAAGACGAAGAAGGCGTTTCGATCACCAGAATCATAATTTTATTCTCCTAAGCTTTCGGGCTCTTGCGGGAGTCCATCGTCAGAGAGAGAAGCGTCAACAAAAAACAAGCAACAGTTATAGGGAGAGGAACCAATCAACCATTATAGGGGGGCGAGGGGGGCGGGAACCCAGTAATCACCAGTGTCAACCGTGCTGATATGGCCGCGGAGGGTGATGCATGCAGGCGCCAACTCGATAAATCGTTTGACTGAGTTTTCATCCGAGGCGCAAGATTAACATAGTTCTCGTCCTGTCCTGTTGCCGGCGTGAGCAATCATCTTCGCAGCTGAAAGTTAAATTTGTGGCCCGTCTCATAGGTGTGGGCAGTCACTTGCGATAATGCGTCACCCCGTGGTATAGCCAGCTTGTGTTCGTGTATGCGCGAACCAAACACGCTTACAGTCCATCCTGTGTAATTACGGTCGGTTGGCTCCTGCCCCCCATAAATGTTGCTCGTTTTTCGTTGACTCTTTTATCTCTGACGATGGATTCCCGCAAAAACCCGAAAGTCCAGAAGAATAAAATTATGATTCTGGTGATAGAAACGCCTTCTTCTTCTTCTTCTTCTTCTTCTTCTTCTTCTTCTTCTTCTTCTTCTTCGAGGACTACCTCTGCCTGGTACATCACGCGGCTATAAGTGGCTGCTACTTGGCAGTAGATTACATATCTAACCTTTACGAACATACGATCGCTTGAGAAGTGCCTGCGAAAACTCGTGATGACCCGGAAAATTATATGAGGCGATGTTAGAGCTCAAACATCCGTTGGATTAGTTAGTACTAAGGCAGAAAATTAGTGCTTTTATCAAAGCGTTCACCGGGCGAGGTTTATTAGATGTCTGGCTTTTTAAGTGTTTGTGTCGTCCATCTATTTTCAGAGACTGTACATTTAGGCTTATGTTATATGCCGCCTCCATCAATGCTACTTTGGTCTGCCTTGGCCATGACGTCAGCCACGTCTTCTGAAATTAGACTAAATCGACGAAAGCGGCATCCGGCGTTGCCGTTAACATCTTCAATCGCTGCCGCCTAGGCTTAGTGCTTATTGCACCAAACGCCCCCCATGCACCTTCTAACGACTTCTATCAAGTCACATATCTTTTGAAGCAATATTTGGCGAACGACTCCCAACGGTTGTACCTAAGTCGACAGTTGTTATTGCAATCACCATGACATTCTCCGTAAATGTTCTTTTTTCAATGAAGAATAGTTACCTAGTCCAGGTACAGGAGCTTTTTACTGATGCTGCGTTTTGTACCTTTCCTTTAGATAGTCGTAAATGCTCTACTGCAAGCAATTCCATCCATATGCAACGTCGTTCTCGTCTGCATGGTGTTCTGGCTCATTTGTTCCATCATGGGAATGCAACTTTTTGGTGAGCTAGTTTATGAAATTTTGACTGAAATTACCCCAACAAGTACCGCGGCAATCTTTCTCATAGCGTCTCATATGTGCAGGAGTCCACCATTATGCTCATCTCCTCGATGTCCAGAAGCTTACGAATGGCATTTCATCTTATACAGGCAGTTTCTATGAAGCTAAAAAATCGTATCCTTTCTGACCAAAACGCGGGACATGCGTTCCTGTGGTTTTACGTTGAAACTAGAAGGTCAGAGGCCATGCACGCAAGCAATTATCAGATATTGAGAACTTTTACTAACGGCAATTTCCAACATATCTGCCGTCACTCTTCAGTGGTATCTTAATTGAGAAGAAGAAGAGGTGATCGCTAGGACAAGACTTTTATTCGCCTGACGTTACGAATTCCGTCGTGGTTTCTTCATCAGAGGCATTAGTACAAGCAAAAGCAGAAACGGTATCTTAAGTTCAGACCATTTCATGCGATTTAAAGCTGAGACAGTTGGTTATCGAACGGCTTTACGTCAAACGTTGTACACACTCAGCCATGAACCAACAACATATAGTCCGAAATCGGGGCTAATTAATATCACATTAGGGCGGCAATCGAGACTACACTACCGATTCTAGTTCCTTTTGCCCTTCTTGGTTATGCTAAACAAGGTGAACGAATCCGTCTACATATATCAGCACCGGAAATCTGTACGCAGAGCAACTGTCCACCAAAATTTTCCAGCCCTGCACCTACATGGGAAAGCCTACACCTGACGGAAAATAAGTGTCTCTCTCTGTCTTGCTTATACGAGAAAGCGCAGGTGGTGTATAAGACATAGCCGGCTTTCTAGAACATCTATGCCTACCTTCGATTTTATATCGTCCTTGCCATGAAGAGTTTGTGCGCACACTGTTATGCCTGGCGAGAGCATTGCAAGCTGTTGGAAATGCAAAATTCTTTCGGCCTGCACAACCATCCGAATGCGGCTAATAACGACGAACATATAGTACTGCCGGCAAATACAAGAGCAAGTGGAATGGTCGCTTCTGGTTTATTAGCCTTCGTCAGCCAGTCATACCCGATCCCAACTGGTGCTCCACCCGAGGCTCGAACTGGCGATCTTTCCGATCTGACTCTAACGCTCTAACCATTGAGCCACGAGCTCGTTGTCTTGCTGGTTTAGGTCAGAGAATATAGACACTCGTTGATG